CCAAGGACTAAAGGCTATCCAGCGTTTTATAGGATTTGCCAACTATTATAGGAAATTTATAAAAAACTTTTCACCACTCATATCTCCCATAACGAAGTTGACAAAAAAAGGTCTACATCCTAGGGTTTGGACTCCTGAAGCCCTTAAGGCCTTCGAAACCCTCAAGAAGGCATTTGCCTCTGCTCCAGTGCTGCACCACCCTGATCCTTCTCTTCCCTTTGTTATGGAAGTAGACGCCTCGGAGTCAGGTGTGGGAGCCGTACTGTCACAGAGGTTGTCTTATGACAAACCCCTCCATCCCTGTTGTTATTTTTCTAAAAGTTTGTCTGATTCAGAGAAGAATTACGATGTTGGGAACAGGGAACTATTAGCTATTGTGTTAGCTTTCAAGGAATGGAGGTACTTATTAGAGGGTTCTAGACACAAAATTATGGTTATAACAGATCATAAGAATCTATCCTATATTGCTGATGCTAGAAGGTTATCTGCCCGGCAGGCTAGATGGTCTCTATTTCTCTCACGCTTCCAATATGTTATCACCTATAGACCTGGTTGCCGTAATGCCAAAGCTGACGCCATCTCTCGGCAGCATGAACCAGTAGAATTTGTTAACCCGACTCCTGAACCTATTGTACCTGAGTCTCAGATAATAGCTGCTACCCGTTTGGTTGTTTCTTCACCTTTCCTTAACAGTATTAAGACATACCAAACCCAAGCACCCCCTGAGACGCCGGTTGGTAAACTATACGTTGAAGCTAATGACAGAAAAAAGTTGTTAACTTTATTTCACACAGCCAAAACTGCTGGTCGTCCGGGGGTTACCAAAACCTACAAGGGCCTCCTTCAACAGTTCTGGTGGCCTTCACTCAAGCGAGACGTAGTGGATTTTGTTCAGGCTTGTCAGGTCTGCACGCAATGTAAGTCCCTTAATGTGAGACCCCAGGGTTTTCTGATGCCTCTATCTATACCCAAGAAAGCATGGACCCACTTATCCATGGATTTCATTGTAGACCTGCCTCTTTCTGATGGTCAGACGGTGATACTGACTGTGACGGATAGGTTCTCTAAAATGGCGCACTTCATTCCGCTTAAGAAACTGCCTTCTGCGGTTCAGTTAGCTCAGGTATTTGCCAAAGAAGTGTTCCGATTGCATGGGGTACCCCAGGATATCCTATCTGACAGGGGCCCTCAATTTGTCTCTCGGTTCTGGAGGGGCTTTTGTGCTGAGATGGGGGTCTCCTTGTCGTTCTCTTCCTCCTATCACCCGCAATCTAATGGTGCGGCCGAACGTGCTAATCAGTCTGTGGAATTGTATTTGCGCTGCTTCACTAATGCGCACCAGGATGACAGGTCTCGCCTTCTTCCGTGGGCTGAATTTGCCAGGAATACGGTGTCTCATTCGTCTACTGGCTTAAGTCCTTTTGAGGTTGCTTATGGGTTTCGTCCTTCTGTCCTTCCCGGTGCGTTCTCCGACAAGGGAATGCCCGCCTTGGACCAGCACCTTGCGCCTCTTTGCGGAAGACGTGGGATCAAGTCCATGTTGCGCTGTCTCGTTCAGCAGCTGCTCAGAAAAAGTTCGCTGATCGCCGTAGGGTTGCGGCCCCTTCCTATGTTCCGGGTGATAGGGTATGGTTGTCCTCCCGGAACCTCCGTCTCAAGGTTCCCTCGATGAAATTTGCCCCCAGGTTTCTTGGTCCCTTCAAGGTGTTACGTAGGGTTAACCCCGTTTCCTACTCCCTTGATTTGCCTCCTTCCATGCGTGTCCCGAACACGTTTCACGTCTCGCTTTTGAAACCCTTGCTGTGTAACCGGTTCTCTCGTCCCCTCGGGCGGCCCGTTTCCCCTCGAGCTGTCTCTGACGACGTGTACGAGGTGGCTGCCCTTCTCGACTCTCGTGTTTCTAGGGGTCGGCTGCAATATTTGGTGGACTGGAAGGGGTACGGCCCTGAGGAGCGGTCCTGGGTTTCGAGCTCTGATGTGCACGCTCCCTCTTTGGTCCGCTCCTTTCATGCCCGCTTTCCTTTGAAGCCTTCCGCTTCCCGCCCCCTGGGCGGTCTTCGAGGGGGGGTAATGTCAGGCTCCCGCGGGCGGCTGCGAGGGGAGGCTGCACTCCGCTCGCAGTACTCACCCTCCAGCCGTCCGCGGTCCCCTCCGCCTCGTGGGTACGGCGAGCGGCATCCTTCCAGCCTCGGATGCCGCCCGCCGTTCCCTCCACGTCCCCCAGCGGCAGCATGCATGACGCTGCACGCTGGGAGACCGCCCAGGTTTATACACGCCGGGGTCAGTCACCTGACCCGGCGTTAAAGGCAAGTGCCACAATCACAGTGGGAGGTCTAAATATCTCCCACGTGTGATTGTTAATTCTGATTGGAAATCATCCAATCAGAATTAACCTGATGGTTTAAATACTTACCTTTCCTGTTCCTCCCTGCCCTGTTGTGGTCTTTGCTTGCTAGTATTGCTACTTACCTTGTGCTTCTGGTTACGTACTCTCTGGCTTGTTTATCTGACTCTGTGACTTTCTCCTACCCTTTGACCTCGGCTCGTTTCACGTTATTCTGTCTTCTGGTTCCCCTTTACTCGGCTTGTCTCCTGACTATTCTGTGTGTGCTTAGCCCGGCCACTCTAAGGTCCGGTACGGCACCTTTTGTGTGTGTGTGTGTGTGTGCCAGCGTGTTGGGTTCCCCGAATCGTGACACTGTGTACCATGCCAATCTACTCGTCATGCTCCACCTAAAGCCTCAGTACATCCCTGGGAAGTGACTAGATCAGCTTGGTCCCGTTTACATATAGATTTTGCTGGCCCTTTTCATGGACAGATGTTTTTTTTAGTTGTTGACTCCATTTCAAAATGGTTAGAAGTTGTTCCAGTTACATCTGCTACCTCAGTCAAAGTCATAAAGATTCTAAGGAGGCTGTTTGCTACACATGGGTTGCCAGATACAATTGTGTCTGATAATGGAACACAATTTACCTCATCAGAAATCTAAATTTTCATGGCAAGTAATCTTATTTGACATGTTACGATTACACCATTTCACCCATCATCAAATGGTCAAGCTGAGCGTATGGTTCAGACTACCAAAGACTCATTAAAGAGAATTATTGAACGAGATTGGAATCGTAGACTTGCAAATTTCCTTCTGCAACAACATGTGACACCATGCTCAAGCACTGGTAGTAGTCCAGCAGAGCTCCTTATGAACCGGCGTCTTAAAACTTGTCTGTATCGTTTACATCCTGATTTGACATCTGAGTTACAAGAGAAGCAAGAATTGCAATTCAATAAGAACTATAATGCTTCCACTGTGAGAGTATTTGCACCTGACAGTGCTGTCTATGTCAGGAATTATGTTTCTGGGCCTAAATGGATACCTGCAAAAGTACTTGTGGCCACAGGACTTTTGTCATACAAAGTTCAAATTCCTAATGGTAGAATATTACAAAGGCATGTCGATCAGATCCGGCAACGGAGTGATGAGATTGTGCCTGCTGTCGGTCTCAGTCATAACGGGTTTTCTGTGATACCAGATGATGTTGAACCACTGGGTGATACAGGTGTCAGTTCTCCAGGAGTTGTTGTTGCAGAACCAGTTCCTTGCTGTCCATCTGAGAGAGCACAGGAAGAAGGGATGGGCACAACTAAAGGTCCAGGTGAAGCAGCTCAAAACATGGTTTTGGGGCGCCCAAGAAGAAATATTCACCCTCCCAGATATCTCAAAGACTTTGAGGTCTAGGGGGGAGGAGTGTTATGTATTGGGGTTCATGCAGTCCACCTTCCAGTCAAGGCCAGATTAAGAGCTCAGTGGGCCTGGTGCTGCCAGTTATGATGGGCCTAATTACAGAATCTTATCGACCAAAAACACTAAAACAGTTATACCTCCCAAGCGTCATGTATCTGATGGAGATCGTGTTGGAGGGAAACTCAAATGATGCAGCTATACGAAAAAAAAAATACTCAATGCTAATCTCGCTCTGATTTATGCTTTCACCTTTAAAGTAAATCCATACCCCTAACAGCAGTGTCCAGTGAAGCAGGAAGTCAATTGGCAGGGTAAAAGGGTGTGCCACTGGAGTGAATCAAGTGACCAGACCTGCCAAAAGGGGTGAACATGCCCATAAAGGGGGCTATGTTTGTCCCAAGAATTGGAAAGCCAGCCTTGCATGAATGCATGTCAGGCTGTCTGCCAATCATGCAGGCTGTCCAACTAAGGGCATACTATGCAGGCAGAACCCTGAGCTTGACAGAAATACATCAAATGATGCACCTACTCCAAGATTTCTAAGGACTGTCCCTTAGCACTCACATGTCCACTTGTCTCCTTACCTTCCTGGTATATAGTCTGGGACAGAGTAAAGGTGTATGTAATGAGTGTAGTAGAAAGGGGACATGCCACAGTGTTAGAGACACCAAAGTCTGCATTAAACTAATTTTATTGTCAGCCGGTCCAAACAAGTTTTGTTCCCATACATCACTCTTAAGCTTCCAAACTTAAAGGGACACTATAGTCACCAGAACAACTACAGCTTATTGTATTCGTTCTGGAAAGTAGAAACATTCCCTTCAGGTTTTTTGCAGTCTTTTCAGAGAAAATAACTCCACTGGCCACTCTTTAGATGGCTGCTAGAGGTGCTTCTTTGGGCAGTGCTGCCTAGTGTGCAGCACTGCCATTCAGTGTCTCCACCCTCTGCATACAGACACTGAATTTTCCTAATAGAGATGCATTGATTCAATGTATCTTTATGAGGAGATGCTGATTGGCCAGGGCTATGTTTGACTTGTGCTGGCTCTGCCCCTGATCTGCCTAGTTGACAGTCTCATCCAATCCATTGGGGAATCATTGTAATTTGCTCAGACCACCACTTCTGATGATGTCAGCAGACAGAGTCAGTTCAGAGGCAGAATCAGCAGCTGCAGACTTGAAAGCAAGTAAGATTTTACTATATTTAGGGAGGCAAGAGGGTGTCAGGGGGCTAGATTGTGGTTTTAACATAATAGGGTCAGAAATACATGATTGTGTTCCTGACCCAATAGTGTTCCTTTAAACAAGAGTATGTGAAGAGTAGTTAGGGTTGCCACCTTTCTTAGAAAAAAAAAACCAGCCTTAAATAATTTGCATAATTAATTATGTATGCGTGACATTACATGATGTAAATCACAAGGAGTGACATAAGAGAAAATTATGTAAAATCACCAACAAACTACTCACAGTTTGATTCTGCTGTATAGATGGTTTGCTCCCAGTGTCTCCCTGTCTCCCAGCGTCTCGGTCTCGCAAGTCACCCAGTGTCTCAGTGTCCCTATGTATCACAGTGTCCCTATGTCTCAGTGTGTCCCCATGTCACTAGGATACTAGGGGACACAGTGAGACATGGAGACACTGAGACACTTGGAGACATGGGGCACTTGTGGATACAGACATGGGGACACTGGGACAAATGGGGACACTGAGACACTAGGGACACAGAGACATGGGGACACAGACACTGGGAGACATGAGGACACTAAACATTTGGGGACACTGGGAGACATGGGGACAGTGGGAGACATGGGGACACTGAGGAACACTGGCTGGGAGACAGACACTTGGAGACACTGGGAGACATGGGGACACTTGTGGACATAGACATGGGGACACTGGGAGACATGGTGACACTGAGACATATGGGGACACTGGGAGACATGGGGACATTGAGGGACACTAGGGACACTGGCTGAGAGACAGACACTTGGAGACACTGGGAGACATGGGGACACTGAGACATTTGGGGACACTGGGAGACATGGGGACACTAGGTACACTGAGAGACATGGGGACACTAAGGACACTGGCTTGGAGACATGGGGAGACTGGGAGACATGGGGACACTGATATACTAGGGACACTAGCTGGGGGACATGGGGACACTGGGAGACATGGGGACACTGTGTCCCTAGTGTCTCCCTGTCCCAATGTCTCAGTGTCTCCCAATGTCCCTAGTGTCCCCATGTCTCACAGCGTCCCCATGTGTCCCAGTGTCCCCTAGTGTCTGTGTCCCCATGTGTCCCCTAGTACCTGTGTCCCCATGTATCCCTGCTGCCTTTCCCCCATCCCTCACTTACCTGAGCTGTAGAGCTGCTGTCTGGACTCTCTGTGCTGTGTAGCTGCTCCCCCACAGTGAGTAGTAGAGAGAGGCAGGGATATGCTGTAACTTCCTATCCCTGCCTCCTCCCACACACAGTGACCTTTACTGGTCGGTGCTGGTATTGCAGAGTAATCTCTGTTTATACTGAGAAAAATACCTGCAATTGTATTGCCGGTATTACTTATTAGTGTGTAAAAAAAAAAAAAAAAGTTTAAAAAGTAATAAATATATTTTTTTTAATTTTTTTTTTTTTTTAAATGGGCCTATTCCATGGGCCTGGGCCTGGGCCTGGAGCTGCAGCTCCATCAGCCCCTATGTTAATCCGGCCCTGCTTCCAGTAGATGGCAGCATAGTGAAGTTATGTACTTGTTCTGTTTTGTTAGTCTCTCTTGTTTTTATGTTATTATGTGTGTGTACTGAAGTATATATATAACATGCGAATACACTAAACTGGCGACGAGGATGGGATTAGTCAGATCAAATTGTCCCAGAGAAGCCATGCTGGAGATATTTGTAGATAATAGAATTCCAAAAAAAAAGTTTTACTTCCTCACTCAGGGTGATTTTATTTCCTGTATATATATTCTGCAGTGTCCTTTTACTGACATCCCATCCTCGTCGCCAGTTTAATGTATTCACATGTTATTTATTCACAAAATGGCTCTCAGACATTGTAGTAAAATAGAACTTCTCTTTCCTTCAGTACACACACATGATGACATAAAAACAAGAGAGACTTACAGAACACAACAAGTGCATAACTTCACTATACTGCCATCTACTCTAAGGTGGATTGCATAACACCCCAATACATAACAAAACTGCCTTCATAAAATGGATTACCTGCTTTCTATCAGATGTTCTAATTCCTCTTTATGTCATTTGGAACTCTACGTGTGTGTGTTAATGTGTGTGTAGTCTTTCAAACGGAGCAGAAATAGCATTAATAAAAGCATGCTTGGGATGAAATGTTGTTTTTTTCCGTTGTGTAACCTGCCAAAAATACTTGGCAGGCAGCTCAGTGTGAAAATGACCCCTGTACTGATTGCCGCAATGTGTTCTTGTTGAACAAGAGTACACATGATAGCAATGAAGGCACAGAACGCACCCTTTCTCTATGACAACCAGTTGGACTGAATGTATGAGCTATCGTGGATACACATACTCTGTATTCTGTGATTTATAGCTAGCGGTTATGTGAGGCTATTTTAGTTTAGGTGATTGTTTAAAATAATAAATTGCATGTAATATGCATAGTCCCCTTTTGGCATATGCTTAATTTACCCTGTACCCCCCAAAATACTCAGACACCTTGTATTGGGAAAATTATTATCACAGCTTTAATGATATAAAGGTAACATAAAATTGTAAGGTCATTGTCAACACAATGCATAATACAATAATAACCCCCATTCCTTTAACATAGCTACCCTGACAATGACCCACATAAACAATCATTGATACCACCTATAACATATATAAATTAACATACAACATAAACCATTGCCACAGAGAGCATGATTTTCCAGCTTTCACAATGTAGGGGTATACCAAGATACACACTACACACACCAGGTTCAAACCTACAAATACTATTCCCAACCTAACTATTCTTAGCGAACTAAAACTAACATACCTATGAGCAAATGACCTATCCCCTAACTTTTCTATCCATCCCCCGCCGCCGTGACCAAGTGGGAGCTATACAATGGAAAAAGGGAGGGAGGGAGGATGGGACAACAACAGGTAAGTGAAGATTAAGTAAAATGGCCCCTAATCTAAAATAATAATCTGTGCCTGGCCCCACCCCCTCAGACTGAACACAGCAATCTGTGCCTGGCCCCGCCCCTCAGACTGAACACAGCAATCTGTGGCTGGCCCTGCCCCCTCAGACTGAACACAGCAATCTGTGCCTGGCTCCACCCCCTCAGACGGAACACAGCAATCTGTGCATGGCCCTGCCCCTCAGACTGAACACAGCAATCTGTGCATGGCCCTGCCCCTCAGACTGAACACAGCAATCTGTGCCTGGCTCCACCCCCTCAGACTGAACACAGCAATCTGTGCCTGGCCCCGCCCCTCAGACTGAACACAGCAATCTGTGGCTGGCCCTGCCCCCTCAGACTGAACACAGCAATCTGTGCCTGGCTCCACCCCTCAGACGGAACACAGCAATCTGTGCATGGCCCTGCCCCTCAGACTGAACACAGCAATCTGTGCCTGGCTCCACCCCCTCAGACTGAACACAGCAATCTGTGCCTGGCCCCGCCCCTCAGACTGAACACAGCAATCTGTGGCTGGCCCTGCCCCCTCAGACTGAACACAGCAATCTGTGCCTGGCTCCACCCCCTCAGACGGAACACAGCAATCTGTGCATGGCCCCGC